AGCGGGGCCGCCACTCGGCCCCTCAGCGGAGCGCAGCCGCCGCTGCCGGGGGCTCCCGGCGCTTCGTCCCGCCGGCAAGGACGATGCAGGTTCTCCGCGCCGCGCCGCGGCGGCTGCTGGCCGGCTTGCTGCTGCTGGCCGGCTGCGTCTGGGTGGGAGCGCCGGAGCCGCCGTCGGGGAGCGCCGCGGTCTCCTCGCCATGGGCACCGGAGGAGACCCCCGTCGTGGTGGCCAACCGCGGTCTGCGGGTGCCCCTGGGCCGCTCCGCCTGGCTGGACCCCGCGCGGGACCTGGTGCTGCAGGTGCAGCCGGGGGACCGGTGCCACCTCACCGTGCTGGACGAGGACCCGCTGTGGCAGCGCCCGGGCCGCCTGAGCCCCAGGCGCTTCCCCTGCGACTTCGGGCCCGGCGAGGTGCAGTACTCCCACCTGGGGGGCCGCAGCCCCGCGCGGGACCGCGTCCGCCTGCAGCTGCGCTACGACTCGCCCAGCCGCGCCCTGGTGCTGCCCCTGGTGCTGGAGGTGGAGGTGCTCTTCACCCAGCTGGAGATCGTCACCCGCAACCTGCCCCTCACCGTCGAGCGCCTGCGGGGCACCAGCAACCCGCTGGACGCCCGCAGCCTGGAGTTCGCCTTCGAGCCGGGCCGGCAGCGCTGCCGGGTGGGCCTGCTGCCGCAGCTGGCCGGGCTGCCCCGCTACGGAGAGATCCTCAACTACCCCCCGGCGGCGGCGGCTCCGGTGTCCGCGGGCGGGGAGGCGGCGGGGGACGGCCCGGTGCCCGCCTCCATGTGGGACTGCGAGGAGTTCCTGCGCCTGGGGCTGCGCTACCGGCACACGGCAGCCGGCGGCTCCCCCAACCGTGACCTGGTGCCGCTGGTGGCTGAGCTGCGGGAGGCAGCCGGCAGCGGGGCACTGCTGAAGCGCGAGTACTTCCAGGTGCTGGTGCGGATCCGTGCCGGGACTGAGAACGTGGCCCCCAAACCCAGCTTCTTGGCCATGCTCATGATGGAGGTTGACCAGTTTGTCCTCACCGCCCTCACGCCTGACATGCTTGCGGCCGAGGATGCTGAGTCACCACCAGACCTGCTGCTCTTCAACATCACTTCACCCTTTGGCCCTGGCCAGGGGCACATGGTCAGCACAGACGACCGGAGCTTGCCTGTCTCCTCCTTCAGCCAACGAGACGTGAGGGAGCTGCGCATCGCCTACCAGCCACCCACAGAGGACTCGGATCGGGAGCGGCTCTTCGAGCTCGAGCTGGAAGTGTTGGACCCTGAGGGTGCTGCCTCAGAGCCCTTTGCCTTCGTGATTGTGGTGAAGCCCATGAACACCCTGGCACCTGTGGTGACCCGCAACACTGGCCTCGTGCTCTATGAGGGGCAGTCACGGCCTCTCTCAGGCCCTGGTCCCAGCCCCAACCTAGTGATCAGTGATGAGGATGACCTTGAGCAGGTGCGGGTGAGTGTGGTGGCGGGGCTGAGGCATGGCCACCTCACTCTGCTGGAGGACACCCCAGTACCTGCTGCCCCTCGTAAACACTTCACAGTGGCTGAGCTGGCAGCAGGCCGGGTCATTTACCAGCATGACGGCAGTGAGTCTCCACTTAGTGACAACCTGGTTCTGCGGCTGGAAGATGGTGGCTCTCGCCACCGTGTTGAGTTCCTTTTCCCCATTACCTTGGTGCCCACTGATGACCAGCCACCCCTACTCAATGCTAACACAGGGCTGGCCATGGCTGAGGGGGAAACAGTGCCCATCACCACCCGTGCTCTTAGCGCCACTGACATTGACTCACAGGATGCCATCCTGCTCTTCACAGTGGAGTCTGGCCCCACTGCTGGGCAGCTCCTCCTCCGTCAAGCACAGCCACCTCCTGGCTGGGAAGAAGAAGAAGAAGATGAAGGCTTTTCTTGGACAAGGGTGCCAGGTTTAGCAGGGAGCTCCCTAATCTATGAAAAGCCAGTGAGAGAGTGGCTGCAACAGGACATTGTAGAAGGGCGTCTCTATTACCACCACTTTGGCCCTCACAGCCCTGGCCCTGGTGTTGTGTTGGACCAGTTTGTCTTCAGAGTCCAGGATGACAATGACCCACCCAACCGCTCTGGACCACAGACTTTTGTGATCCGGGTACATCCCGTAGACAGATTAGCCCCAGAACTGCATAGTAGCAGCAGCCTGCACTTAATAGTTGCAGAACAGCAGGTGACCCCACTGCGGAGGAAGCACTTGTGTTACACAGATCAGGATTCAGGGGATCGTGAACTCCGCTATACAATAACCCAGCCCCCCACGGACACTAACCACCCTCCAGATGTGTATGGAGCCCGTCTTGGATCCCTTGTGCTGACTGAGGATCACTCTGTGGAAGTTACCCACTTCACCCAAGCCCAGATCAATCATCACAAGATATCGTACCGTCCCCCACAGGAAGAGCTGGGGGTGGCTCCTCATTTGATTCAGTTTCAGTATCAAGTGCAAGATGCGGCTGGCAATGCAGCTGAAGGGACTTTCACCATCTACTTGCAGCCTGTGGATAACCAGCCTCCTGAAATCACTAATACTGGCTTCGCTTTGCCTGAGGGAGGCAGCCATGTCCTTAGTCCAACTGAGCTGGATGCCAGTGACACGGACACTGAGCTTGCCCATCTCAGATTTATCCTGACCCAAGCTCCTCGGTATGGCCAGTTGCAGCTTTCTGGGTACAGTCTGATTCCAGGAGCTGTCTTTGGCCTGGAGGATATCAGACAAGGGAGGGTGGTGTATGTTCACAATGGAGCTGAAACCAACAGTGATACCTGCAGGCTTGATGTGAGTGATGGAGTTCATTTTGTGCCCATCACACTGAAAATGAACGTGCACCCAGTTGACGATGAGGTTCCTATGCTACGGTTGCCCCCAGGCACTCTTGGTTCCTACCTGGATGTGCTGGAGAACAGTGCTGCTGAAATCACTGCTAATGTCATTCAGGGCACAGATGAGGATACAGATGACTTAATGTTGACCTTCATTGTAGAGGATCCTCCTCAGCATGGGAACATCCTGGTCCAAGGGGTGCCTGCAGAGAGATTTTCCCAGAGAGATGTGCTGGATGGTGCTGTGGTATATGCTCACACTGGAGGGGAAATAGGCCGCCTGCCCAAAGAAGATACCTTCAACCTTACCTTGTCTGACCTGTCTGAGGAGTGGAGTGTCAGGGGCAATGTTGTACAAGGAGTTTCAGTCTTGGTGACCATTCTTCCTGTTGACAGTCAAGCCCCAGAGATTTTTGTGGGGGAGCAGTTCATGGTTATGGAAGGTGGTAGACAGGTCATTACTCCTGCTCACCTCAGGGCTGAAGATGTGGATACACCTAATGATGATATACTCTGCACCATTGTTGCTCAGCCCACATCTGGGTACGTAGAGAACATCTCCCCAGCCCCAGGATCTGAAAAATCCAGAGCAGGTATAGCAATAAGTGCTTTTACCTTGAAAGACCTCCGCCAAGGGCATATTTTTTATGTCCAAAGTATACATAAAGGTGTGGAGCCTGTTGAAGACAGATTTGCTTTCCGCTGTTCTGATGGCATTAACTTTTCCCAAAGGCACGTGTTCCCCATTGTCATTATGCCGATTAATGATGAAGAGCCTGAAATCTTTATACGAGAGTTTGTTGTGATGGAAGGCATGAGCCTGGTTATTGATACCCCTATCCTCAACGCAGCTGATGCGGACGTCCCTGCTGATGAGTTGATGTTCACAATCACCAGACTTCCCAGACATGGCCACATTGTGAACCAGCTGGTCAATGGAACTGTCCTGGTGGAGAGCTTCACCTTGGATCAGATAACAGAGAGCTCCAACATACTCTACGAACATGATGACTCTGAGACAAAGGAGGACAGTTTTGAGGTGAAACTCACAGATGGGAAACATACTGTTAGGAAAATGGTACTCATTATGGTTATTCCTGTAGATGATGAGACACCCAGAATGGCCATCAATGATGGTTTGGAGATTGAAATAGGGGAAATTAGAACTATTAATAACAGAATATTGAAGGCTACTGACCTAGATTCTGAAGACAAAACCTTGACGTACATTATAAGATATGGGCCAGGACAAGGCCTCTTGCAGAGAATAAAGCCTTCAGGTGGAGTTGAGAATATTACCCTGGGGATGAACTTCACCCAAGATGAAGTGGATAGAAACTTAATTCGATATATGCATTTTGGCCGAGAAGGAGTTCGCGATCTTATCAAGTTTGATGTGACAGATGGAATAAATCCTCTGATTGACCGCTACTTTTATGTGACAATAGGTAGCATTGATATTGTCTTCCCAGATGTAATCAGCAAAGGAGTGTCTTTGAAGGAAGGAGGGAAGGTAACCCTTACTACTGATTTGCTTAGCACCAGCGACCTGAATAGTCCAGATGAGAACTTGGTTTTCACTATTACCAGAGCACCTGTTCGTGGTCATCTTGAATGCACTGATCAGCCTGGTGTACCCATCTCCACTTTTACTCAACTCCTATTAGCAGGGAATAAAGTCTATTACATTCACACATCAGAAGATGAGGTGAAAATGGACAGCTTTGAGTTTGAGGTGACTGATGGCTATAACCCTGTATTTCGGACTTTCCGAATTTCTATCAGTGATGTGGACAATAAGAAACCTGTTGTCACCATCCATAACCTGGTGGTGAGTGAAAATGAATACAAACTGATAACCCCATTTGAACTGACTGCAGAAGACAGAGATACACCTGATGCATTGCTAAAATTTATCCTTACTCAAGTACCAGTTCACGGTCAGATCATGTTCAATAACTCCAAACCAGTCACCACCTTCACTAAACAAGATCTAAATGAAAATCTAATCAGCTACAAACATGATGGCACAGAATCAGTTGAGGATAGCTTCTCTTTCACTGTTACGGATGGCACTCATACTGATTTCTATGTCTTCCCCAACACTGTGTTTGAAACAAGGAAACCTCAGACTATGAAGATTCGAATAATGCCTGTGGACAACAGTGTACCTCAAATTGTAATAAATAAGGGTGCTCAGACTCTCCGTGTTCTGGCCACAGGTCACATTGGGTTTCTGATTACCAACAAGGTGCTCAAAGTGGAAGACAGGGACAGTTTACACGCAACTCTCAAGATCAGAATCACAGAGGGTCCTCGCCATGGCTTCCTGATTCACCTGGGGAAAGGCAACCATAGCATCAGCCAGTTCACCCAAGGTATTAAAGTATTCCGTGCTTCCTTTGGATCACTGGAAACATTCTTGTTCGTGCTAAACTCTGTAATAATTGATCAGAGAAACTTTCTGACAGGGAGCTTATTTATAATGGGTTTATATTTTTTTTAGTTCTGTTTATTTTTTATTGTATCTGTGATGATACAAGGGAAAGGGGGTCTACTGGATAAACACTGAATAAAGGAGTGTGTTTGGTGTGGAGAGCTTACAGTCCAAATAACTGTGATTTGGACTTTCTCTCTGTGATAAAAATTGGGTAACAGATTTGGGCTGCACTTGGTTGCATATCTGTAGAGGCTGAGTGCCACCTTTAAACAGTTTTATTTAGAAAATGCTATGGGAGTGCCTAAGCTATTATTAACTAATGGTCATACCATGGCTAGGGTATGAGTTCCCGTACAGTTTGAGTGCATTTAACTGTAAAAGCAAAATCATTTCCCAAACAAGGAGAAATAATATATTATGAGTGCATTTGTTGCCTTAATTACACAAATGTTACCCACAGGGTGTTTGTGGTAAATTAAAAGGTAGTTTAAATGTTTTAAAATTAGGTCAGTGTTACTTACTTTTTACACGAAAATAAAATACTAGGTGGTATAAATAGGATGAAAACCACATGTGCCGTAGGTTCTGAAATTAAGCCTCAACACAAGGCTATGAAGTAACTTTAACTGAAAGGGGAGCATTAGCTATTCTCCAAAGAATTTTCCGTGTTACTTTGCAATGAGTTAATAGCTGGTTAATTTAAAAAGAAATGAGGTTTCTTGGAGCCTCCAGCGGCTGTCAAGTGAGTAGACAGCACAATTTAAAGGAGAATCAAAGCTATGGGGGCCCAGACAGGCTGGGCTGTGGAGGTGGTAAGGCTAGAGATGAACGCTTGTAGTTCTCTGTATTTCGTTTCACAGAGCCCGTACTGGTATGTGTCCCATGTTACAGTCTTAGCTGTGGTGATGTTCCTGTTAGATATACCACATCTTGCAAACAGGCTTGATGAACTTTTGAATGGCTGGGGTGCCCTGAGTTTTGTGGTGTTAGTGTGAAAAAAGAGGCAAGGAGGGACAAAACCATGTCTAAGCTTTGGGAAACCTCCACATCTCCTTAAATGTAAGGCTTCAGTAGTGGACTGCTAGTAGCATTAAGAGTATTATCAGAGTAAGTGAGAAACAGAAGAGAATGGGAGTGAGCAAATAAACAGATTACCACTTTTTTAGTGGGCTTTCATTTGCATTGGAGAATGTAAAATTACTGAGTGGATGCTCCTTGAAAGCAGAGCACTGCATAGCACAGTGATGATCCATTTTTTTGAGGAGGGGGCGCACTCAGGATAGGTACATACTCCATTCTCTTTCATGCCATGTGGCCAGGTGTACATTTGTCAGATGACCAAAATACAGTTCTTACTTGGCTTGGCATAATACAGCTTGGTTGATGTCTCAGTATTCTGTGTAACCTCCTGAGGCCAAAGGTATCTACGTGGCCACTCTAGCCAAATACTCAGCACTTTGCAAGCAATGATTTTATTCAGTATTCACCCCAATAATGCTTTTTATCTTCTTTTTCAGGCAAGTGTTTTCAGGGAGATGAGAGAATGATGTTGTTTTTTGAAGACTACATATTAATATATGTGTACCTTTAATAATCACATCAGTTTTGCAGAATTTTAAATGTGAGATCAGTGCCCTGATCTACTGGAGACAAATACATATTTTTAAATAGAAAATTATGTTGGATGGATTTCAAAATTATGTTGAAGAATTTCAATATCACATTAATATTTAGTAGCAACTGTAGTTAATACGGTAATGAATTGTGCTTACGGAATCATAACCGAATCAACTGTGGAAGGAAAGTGTAGAATTGCTCAAGTGATTCTGAACATATTAGTGAACAGTAAACAGGTCATTCCTTTGCAATTCTTTTGATGAAATTAAGATGTTTAGATGACAAGTGGCTTTTTTGATGAGGTGGTCCTGGTCCTGCAAATACTGGCTTAAGTTCTTATCTTTTTATATGTTGGAACCATGGATTTCAATGGGGCTACCCACAGGGGCAGAGCTGAGTACTTGCATAAGTGTTTGCAGGATGAAAGATTTATTTTCTCCTCTGGCATGAAGAGGTATTTGTTTGCATCCTCTTTACAGCCCCATGAATTTTTGATCTTTAACTTTCAGACATTTATGGAAGAGATTCTTCAGTGGCGTGTATTTGCTGATAAGGTTCTTGACTTGTTTGCCCTAGAAGATGTCTGGCTACTTTTGGAACTAAGGATTTTGAGGAGCTCTAACAGAAGTGCTTTTGGCTTCTTTTTACTAATGCATATGCCCTAATGTGGGGGGAGAACTTGGGTGGTATTTGAGCTCCACTTTAATGCCATTAATTTCTACAACTTTTTCTTAAAAAAGGTATCAGATGTGGATATTTTACAACAGCAGTCTTTCAAAGAAAGTGACAAAGATTAGTTTCTATGTATTACATGTTTCTCATCACTGTTCAAGGAAACCAGAAAGCACCATATTAATTTTTTTTTTTTTACCTTTTAGGTACTTTGTTGCAAATGATGGTTCAAAATTGTGCACTGAATTTTTTCTTAGTTTAGTTTTGTCTGTCTACTTTAATTGCTTCTGTTTGGATTCTTTAAACAGTCAATCACTGTGTTTGAGCACTGTTTATGACAGTTCATATAGATTATATGCCATATCTTTTGAAAACATGGTGATAGAAAAGATGGTCTGGTGAAGCAGGCATTTTTTTAGGGGACTAAAGAGATTAAGACCTCTCTACTGCAGAATGTGTAGAGATATGCTGTCCACGTAGACCACATGCCAGAATTAATCTAGTTTTAGAGGTGGTGGTGGGAGGTTGTATGGACTAATTTGTTTCACCTCTTGAATGGAGGGTAGAATTTAACATGGAAAATACCCTGGGTTTTGTTCCTGTCTCAGCCACAGATTTTCTGTGGCCTCTGTGGTACGTCTCAGGATGAAGAATGAAAGAATCGGTATCTTAGTAGACATGCACCTCTGTTTAAGAAAATGCACCACAAAAAATATGAAATAGTTCTGACTGTTGAGCCCATGTTTTTACATTTCCTTTCAGTTCTTTTTGTAAATACATCTCAAAAGGAAGAGGGCACTGGGGAGGGGGGAAGTAAAGGGAGGGAGAATGAATGGTATCTGTAAAACTTCAGCACTGTTAATACTGAGATTCCTGGGCTCAACTGGAGAACCTTGACCTCTCTCTGTTGAAGAGAAACTTTTTAATAGATGTGAAGTTTTTCTTGCATTTCTTCAGCATTTTAAATAAAATCTATTTTTCCTACCTCTTCCCAGCTGATATTGATGATATGAAGATATGTTATGTTTTACGAGGGGGTGACAATGCCACCAGTGACATTTTTCATTTCATGGTTGAAGATGGTGGTGAGTACTCATAATATCTGTGCTTTTGTTGTTCTTGAAAGTGAAAAAGTTTAAGTATACTTTGGGGACTTCAGTTGAGGGAAGTCCGAGTTACCTCCTGGAATATGATTTCTGTTACGACTTTCCCATATTGTGGATTATTTCTGGTGATTACAAAGAGAAATGTTGATACGGTAATTGCATCTAATGAAAAAATAAACTACTCTGGCAAGAAAGTGAAATTCTCTAAGACTGCTCAGATACCTGGGCTTTCTGTAGTTTTACCTTTGTATTCCCTGTTCAGGCTTTTTACACATAAATTCTCATAAGCCTTTTGTCTTGAGAAACGTTCTAAATTTTGATTTAGAGTTATGGTTGCCTGCCTGTTTAAAGGTTCCAGCTATAAGACTGTTCATACGGACGCATTGTCTCTGATGTACATGTTGTGTAGCGTTCAAGTTCTGATTCTACCTACTTAACAGAATCCTCAATGGCTTGTCAAAGACCTTTGTCGTGTGACTGATGAGAATTCTTCTATTTTGGAGGATTGTGGAGGATGCAGAAGGAAAGAATAAAAACAAATTGAGAATACTGGCATATACTCGCTTGAGAAAAAAACATGTTGTGGGGGGGTTTTGTTTTTAAAGAGCAAAGAAAGATCAGTTTAAGGGGTAAACAGAGAACATTAACCAGCCTTTTTTTTCCTATCCAAAGGTCTGTACTTAATGTGGATATCCCTAAATGTAGACATTCCTGTGTGCAGTAACAGGTGGCTAGATTATGTTACTTTAATACCCTTTTTAATATGTGATATATAGCTCTATGAGTAATTGGCAATGAATTTTATCACTTGATTTAATAATAAACTTCTTAGAAAAAATCCTCCAAGTTAGCTTATTTTCAGCTCATGTGTACTCAGCTTGTGTTACTGCTTCACAAGAAGCACAGCCAATTAATGGTATTAAGATCAGTGTATAGAGATTTGTCCTCTCTATCATAGATTGAACAGTTTTGTCACACTCTGCCATTGCTGAGAGTAGGATATTAAAGCATGTGCTCCTATTTGTTGTGCTGGATGAGCACAGACGAGACAGTAACTCTAGAAACTTTTTAAAATTTATTTGCAAATATTTGCTACATCAGAGAACAAGTAGTAAGATAAGACTTTGTAACACGACCTATTTTCCTTAGATCTTTTCTTTTAACTGAGATATAGGTTAGAGAAATTTACAACTAAATAAAGATAATGGAGAACAGGGTGTTCTATTTTCTTAGGAATACCATCATTTTCTTATGACAGGTGTCACATGGTGACGTTGTTCACTATTTCCAAGTTGTTCTTCTGGTAGGTGAACAAATACTCAGCCCTGAGATATTTCAAGGTTTCTTTTGATGGGAGTAATTTAGGCTGAAGAAAGTTTACTCTCAGCAAACTGTTTAACATCAGTTCTGAACACTTTCTAGTGGCAAATGCGTAGTTAAAGCAAATTGCACTTAATATATTCCAACTCTATACCAAAAATTTTTCTTTCATTGGAAAGCTGACCTGCCACATCTGCTTCTACTTGGCAGGGTTGTAACAGCCTGTCAATTGTAACAGCATGCTATTTTTCATAATACAAAGAATCATTATGATAACAAGGTGCTTGCTGATTTTTTAGGGTCTTTGGAACTTGTGACAATGTTATCATCTTGCAGACTACTTAGTTAGATGGTAAGATGGTCTTTGCCATCCTGGGGCTATTTGTTGACACAATGAAAAATGAGCTGTGCTGCATTTCAGGATATTTCTGATTTTCTGCTTGACTGAAGATGGTAAAACTGTATTTTAAAGAGATGAAGTTGTGATCAAAACATTAATATTTGTCTGCCTAAAATAACTCAAATTTATTAGCAGTGTCTTTAGAATCTGTAACAGTGGTGAAAAGTACATCAATTTAACCTAGCCCAATTTATTTCTGCCCTCTTCAGAAAAACATCAAAACCAGTGTTTTGCAGCTCAGGTGTATTTTGGCAGAATTTCAGGTTTTGATTTTAAGCCAGATCATTCTAGGAGACTAAACACAGGATCTGAGTGAAAGGTGCACAGACTGCCAATATCCGCAGTAGAATGGCACACTTCAGACGTCTGTCTCCTGTATCAGGAATTTTGCAGTAGTAACAAGTTTGTGATGCCTACCACACAGTGCCTAATGCTGTAAATTCACTGAGTGGGACTTCACCGAAGCTGAATTTTGCCATAGTCAGTATACGATCCAGTTGAAATCAGGAGGGGTTTCAAAGTGTGATTCAATGAATGAATATTTGTTTATATTACTCAGCTAATGTTATTTCAAAGAAGTAAAAAAAAAAAAACAAAACACTAATAAGGCACATTTTGTAGCCCAAGTATTTTATGTTTTGTTGTCTTTTTTTTAAGTATTGTTGTCTCATGCCTCAGTGAGGGGAACCTACAACACCAATTGCTGTTCTCTTCAAGTAATATGAATTAGAAAGTTGATTTTGCCAGATACCTCTAGTATTCCCTGTAAAATGCTTTTCTGTGTGTTTTGGAATGTTTGTTCATCGTCTCTGAACTGCAAATAGAAGAAGAGCATGACTTTCTCTAGCTCCATCTTTCCGTGGTTGATCTGCCCTGCTCATTATACTGTGACTTAAGGGAACAAATGCAGAATTTCTTTTGTCGATCTCTTAAATGATGATAGTCTAATTGGGGCCCAAGTCTGTTATCTCAGGCAGTTGCACGGAGGCCAAGTATAAGGAGTCATCAAAGTGCTCTGGTGTGAATTTTGTTGTGGATCTGGAATTTTGTTTATCCTCTTACATGTGTCTGGCATTTGTGGTAAGCAAGTTGGGGCAACAGCAGACTAGGTGGTGGGTAAGTGAGCAGAAAAGATCCACGTCAGCACTCTGCCAGCCCTTGGCCCGTTGCCTGCTCTGTTTTTCCCAGCAGGTGAGACCTGTGAGATCTTGTGAGACCCCACCTGGAGTACTGTGTCCAGCTTTGGAGTCCTCAGCACAGGAAGGACATGGACCTGTTGGAATGGGTCCAGAGGAGGGCCATGAAGATGATCAGAGGGCAGTAGAACCTCTGCTATAAGGACAGACTGAGAAAGTTGGGGTTGTTCAGCCTGGAGAAGAGATGACTCTGAGACCTTATAGCGGCTTTCCAGTACTTAAAGGGAGCCTACAGGAGAGATGGGAAGGGACTCTTGATCAGGGAGTGGAGTGATAGGATGAGGGTTTTAAAATGAAAGAGGGAAGATTTAGATTAGATACTAGAAAGAAATTCTTCACTGTGAGAGTGGTGAGACACTGGAACAGGTTGCCCAGAGAAGTTGTGGATGCCCCATCCCTGGAAGTGTTCAAGGCCAGGCTGGATGGGGCTTTGAGTGACCTGGTCTGGTGGGAGGTGTCCCTGCCAATGGCAGAGGGGTTGTCGATTACCTTTAAGGTCTTCCAACCCAAGCCATTCTATGAATCTATGATTCTATGCTTCTGTGCTATGTACCAAATTGTGACCTAGTGTCTGAAAGCATGAAATACGATACTGGGAGAAACTTAAATACTAGCTAAGAGAGAAACCTGCAGCCTAGACAGATGGAGAATTGCTCAGGGATTATGGCTCTCTCATGATAACTTCTCTCTCCATAAAGAGAACAGAAATCTGCTCAATGTGAAGAGAAAGGAAGGCCATTTAAGAATAAAAGGAGATAAAGGGCTGTAATTCATAAGTGAGAGCATAGGCCTGCTGTATTCAAACCAAAATTAGAGGTCTTGCCAGAAAGAATCGGTTGGGGTTTTAAGCTCTATAAGAGTCTTATTATCACCATCAATTGACCACATGTATGGCTGTTTAAATTGCATGTTTCATAAGAGTAATTAGCGAAATAAATTGAACACAATTCAGCTATTTATCAGCACTGATATTTTTAAAGGTAGAAAAGGTTTTAGTTCATCATATTTAGGGATTTAGCCTCAAAATGATCTGGTATAAAGTGGGTGAGCCCTTGCATTTCTGTTAAACTTAAACCAAGAAGACCCTGTAGGATATTGGATGCTGCTGAGTTATCTCTGTGACGTTTTGAAAGAAACTACCGTAGTTCATATTAAGAATTTGCTCTCTGTTTTGTTTTGAATGTGAGGAGGTAGAAAAAAAAGGAAATCTAGACTGATGGTTGAACTCCTGGATGTATTTGTGGTATGTAAATTTGTACACTGTCAAGAGACTCACTAAACTGAAGAAAAAGTTCCAGTTGAAAACACTTGAGCCTTTTAATTAGTGAAAAATAGACTCACAGAGTAACTTAAATCTGATAGACTTAGTGAAAAACTGCCATGTCTGCAGCAAATTCATATTCCTGAAAGCTTGGCGAAACTGGATATGTATGGTGCTGCCCACTATATGCATAGAGTTGGTGCTTCAGCTGTGCAAAATGGCACTAATTCGTGTGGAATGAAAGTTGACACAGAAATTAGCTCCAGTGTGTTGAGGTCTTGTGCCTGTTTCAGAAAACTGCACAGTACAATTTCCCACTACCTCTGGTGTGAGTTGTCTGAGGCATTTGTGCTCCTTACATGAGAAACTAGCACAGAGAATGCACAGTTAAAACTTAAATCCACCATTTACCCTCCTTGTCTGATTTTTTAATGTCACTGCAGTAAGACATAGTAATTGAAAAAGAGTATCGATCTAAATGCCCACCTATCCAATCTATAGAAAATATTCTCTCATGATATGTGCAGCTTCAAATAATGTGAATGCTGAGCTGGTTTAAGGAAAATTTTTGGCCAGATTCTGAAGATCGTGTATAATAAAACAAACATACACGAAAGCTGGGACTAAACTCAAACCCTGGCTCAGAACCCATACCTCCAGAAGCAATATCAGTCAAATACATTCCTTTGCCCAGCAATGGGTTTTGGATCTGGGGTAGCAGGAATGCTAAATGAAGAGCTGAGCTTCTCTGTAAAAGCCTATTGCTGTATTCATTTTTGCTTCACATAAGAAAGATTCTTTA